TCTGGGGGGGGGGGGGGGGGTGGGGCTGTGGGAGCCGCCTCCTGCTGCGGCTGCTGCTGCTGCTGCTGCTGTTTCAGGAGGTGGGAGGTCAACTCAACCGTACCCTGGGACGTTGTCATGTTGGGAAGGCCGTGTGCTCGCGCCTGGATTTCAAGCTCCTGGTGAACAAAGGAAAATTCATGATTAATTTTTTTTGTTTTTTAATATACACACACCGTAGTTTGTCATCAGCAAATCCAAACCATCCCGGACTGGGAAGCAGCCCCACCTTACATCTCCTCTGAGGTCACTTTTTACTTTTTATCGTCTCTTATCGTTTAGCGTCACTCCCAGATGTTGTGAGGCACTCCCAGATTTCTGTGGCTTCCTTGTCACTCATGTGAACTCTAATGAACCCTAATCAGTGTCTGTGTGTGTGAGCGTATGTACTGATCACTTCCATGTACAGTGAGAATCAGTGTGAAAGCCTCCCATCACTGACTGTCGTCACTCCTGACGCCTACTTCTGGTCCCAGCATTTACAAATTAGCCTATTGTCTTCATTCATCAGGTAATTAGCCTGAGGGGTGAGAGTGGGGAGTGGGGGAGGGGGCTCGTACTGACCTGATGTAAACAAGAGAGTAAGAAGGGGGTGGGTGGGGGCTTTGGAGGTGAATATTTGTGCAAGATGATAATACATTAAGTAAAGAAAGGCTTTTGTCGATTGATTTGTCAAAGTGAAAAAAATATATTTTTTTAAATGTGCAAGAATAAACATAAACTCAAAGATAATTTGGCAAATTTGATAATATTTAGTGGCGTCAACGGAAATCGTCAACAGAAACTGACGGATAGAATTGGAAAGCCTAGTGGCCCGTATCTGGCCCACGACCCAGTGTTTGCTCAGGTCTGCTCTACACCTCAGACTTCCGTACAATCAACCGCACAAAGCCATACTCTGGTGGGCCGCATAAAATGATGGGGTGGGCCGGATTTGGCCCGCGGGCCTTGAGTTGGACACATATGCCATAGATGACGTGATTTGGGAAATTGGGGAAAATAATAATAAAATACAATTTTCCCCTTGATGCAACGTTTAAAACCTATAAGCTATCAACTTCCGACCCGTGGAGGTGTAGCTACCAAAGAGATCTGAACCGTCTTTTGTTTTCCCTCCTCAGCCCTGCGCGGTCCTGTTCTCACCTGGATCCTCAGCAGCAGCCGCCTGTTGGCTTGTTCCAGCTTCTTCTGTCGACTCTCCAGCTCCCTGGCGTGCTGCTGCTCCTTCTGCAGCCAACGGATGTACTCCACCGAGGCCTTCAGGATGGTGCCTTTGTTCCAGCGCATGTCTCTGCAGAAAGGACGGAACGTTAAAGGTAATCCCTGAGGTCGGCAGAATATCCTTCACATTAAAAAAAAAAAAGGTTTTTAACATGGCTCCTCTTTATGATATGAATAGGAAATGGCCATTTACAATAGGCAATTATTCATCTTTGGACATTACATGGGGAAACTGAATGGGCTTTTTAATAGAATAGTTTAGTAGGTGTGTGGAAAGTCCATTCTCAAACCTCCTTGTTCAGTAAAATTAATCCTGGATGAAAGAAAAAAAAGGAAGGGGGAAATGGAGCATTGGACTCGAGGTGCTTGAGTGCAAGTTTCCTTTGCAGATCTTATTGCTTTTTCAAAAAAATTGAAGTGCAGTAAAATTGCCCTTTTACTCCCACCTTTTGCACAAAAGTGAGACACAGGTCCGATCGGCAGCTAATAATCTCTTTTATCCCACCTTAATGGCCAAGTGACAGCGTTAACCTTCCATTAAAAAAGTTCAGTCACGTCAGATGACCGATGGATTCGAGATCACCTTCATTTTTTTCCCCCGCTCTCTCTTCCAATTTGGCTCCCCGTTCTAAATCAAATATGCCTGAGCAACTTCTTCTACATTTGACCCCCCGGATCGTCAGCGGCGCCCTGAGGCGAACTGCCGTGACCCGGCACGAGGAAGAACAAGGCACGGAGCTTACAGTGAAGTGGAAACTCAAGAGTGCTTTTAATTCAGTGAGGAAAACCCAGGATTATTGTAGAATTAATACAGTTGACACAGTTGGTGGACGAGAATAAAAGAGAAGAGAAAACACAGCAGGGGTCAACTTACGGGTCGTTGGACTTTGGGATGAGGGTTCCCAACTCTTTGATCCTGTAGTTGATGTTGTATCTTCGCCTTCTTTCGACTGAAGAAAAACAGAAAAAAAAAGACAGAGATGAGACAGTTGTTAACATCGTTCAACGAAATAAAAGAATGAAGGTAAAATAAACAAAAACACATGCTAATACAGCAGCTAATTTTAAATATTAAATGTTATCCTTGGCTAATTCAAATATCTTTACTTCAAACGTAAAGTAGCAAAAGCAGCTAAAAAAAAATTTATGCTAAAGCTAACGACAGTGTAGCCCCGAAACCAGTCATTGGTTCCCAAAAATATATTTTTGCAGTGCCTCATGTCAACAAAAATGTCCCTTGCTGCGCTGCCTTGCACTAGTTCTGTGCCGCCTTTGGGGATGCGCCCCCCATTGTTGGAACCCTTGATTTAAGTCACATTGAAAAATGTGGCTTTTTTGCACTCACTGCTTAAAATCAACTATTTATTAAACTTTTTATGTCAATTTTATAACACATATATATAAACATAGTGTATTTCCAGTTCCATAATAATTGTACGATTACGTATTAGCAAAGACCTCCCAGTGGACAGTGGACGTGTTTAGGACTGAATGTCCCCACACAGTACCACGAACCAGACAAAGGGGAACAAGTGCACATATTATTTTGGTCGTTTCGCAAAAAACAAAAATGACCATCCCCCGAGATAAAAAACAAATCTGAGGCCCGGGGGGCCGGGCAGTAACTCATCGTCAGATAATACACAGCCAGAGAGTGGAGATGAAAGGCGGCGGCGGCGGCGGCGGCGGCGGCAGCGGACACTCACTCAAGTTATGGTTGTCTTTCTTCTGCCTCTCTTTGGCCATAACCCTCGTGTCATGTTCTGTGGAGAAAAAACATAAATCACGTCAGGGGAACGAAGTGATTAGAAACGCACACTAATTTAGAAACTGAAAGACAACGAAGACAAAAACACACACACACACCCACACACAAAAAAGGCCAGTCAGCAGACACACACACACACACACATACACACACACACACACTGTCAGTTGTTTTGAGACAGTTCAGCGCCGGGGTCAGTCTGAAAGTGGAGCTTCTGTCCTCCAGACCTCAGACACAAGTTTGACCTCGTTGCTTACACACACACACACACTTACACACACACACACACTGTGAAAGAGCCCAATTTATCCCCGACACAGTGTCTGACTCTCATTCTACAATTTTTTTTTTAATGGCCAACGTTTTTTTTTTCACTGTATAATTAAAACATCTGAGTGAATTCACTTCATCCTCCAGAATGTCAGCACGTCCATATTTCTATTTCACATTCTTCCAAATTACATAATTGGGGACCTGAGATTGGATTTCCCAATTTGTCCCTGTTGATTCAATCAGGACAATTTAAAGCGTCTAACAGTCCATTGTCCTCGCGGTCCACGCTCTGAATCCGTCCACAATTTACTTATTTGCCGGTGGAGATCGGAGGGTTCTTCAGGCATCCTTTCGATTTCCTAAATCAATTACGGCCTCTGCGCTTGATGCGTGACATTAATAAAAAAGTGTCTTAAAGGACCCTTCTGTTTTTCCACCGTGACGAAAAGTCCACACATTTCTGCAGCCTGTTAACGGGACCGATGACAAGCGGGGCAGTGTTTGACAAACTCTAGACACAAATAACCCTACATATTTGCCCGACACGTGTAATTGGACTTGAATTTTAAAGTCGGGACAGACACACACACACACACGCACACACGCACACACACACAGATGTTTCTATTTATAGCAAACACAGGTACACTCTGTTCTGTTCCCTTTAATGTTGAGGTTTGTGGTTGAGTCGGGCACGGATCGTATGTGAGAAACGAACAGCCTTTTTAGATTGCAAAGTTGCGGCCCGTCAGTCTGTCAACAACGACTGAAATGTTTTTTGGCTAGCGTCCAATTTAGACGTCAACCAAAAAAAAAAAAAAAATTAACTGTTTTTTTTTCAACCAACCAGTTGACATGTGACAATGTTGTGGCCAAGATGTGGTTAAAGGCAACAAGACACGGCGGTGTCAATTACTAGCCATATTTTTCACCACAGTCCTTTTGTGCTTTATCTTCTATTTCCCTCTAAATAGGATTATTTAACAAATGGATATTATGTCTTCTGAAGGAGTTCCTAGTCTTTGGGGAGGTTTTTTTTGGGAGGGGGGGGTGTATATAGATCAGCCTACAGATGGCCCGCTCCTGTTTTATATTTATAGTCTACACTAGTGGCTAATGGTGTTTTTGTTAGTTATTTAATCTGCGCTATGGTATGAGTTCATACCTGTGTATTCCCTTTTTACAGTGAGCTTTGTGGGGTTAGATGTAGGACTCATTCCACCACTAGGGGCGTTCATACCTTGTTCACCCCCATAGATGTCCAGCATGCTGCTACTGAGGGACACCTGCAGAGAGGAGAGGAGAGGAGAGGAGAGGAGGGACAGAGGGGGAGACAGGAGGGGGTCAGTCACAGGTAAGACACATTTCCATTTCACACACTTCACGGCACATATGAAAAGATCGGCCCTTTCACACTTCTGACAAAAGCCACAACGCAAATAGTTGTTTAGAGCTGCTGTGTGTCTTTTGTTTAGGCTTTGCATCAAAAATGACAAGAAGCCGGAGGAGCCATCAGCTCCTGGCCGAGATGATTACACCCCCTCCTCCCCCTGAGGACTCCCCTCCGCAGGACCTGGCAGGGAGCTGTCGTAACTACAAGTCTGCCACAGCAGGACAAGGTAAACCCGGGGTTTTAGCCATGAATCACTGCCGTCGTCTGAAGCTCAGCACAACTTTGATCAAAGTAGGTCAACAACCCCGTCGTCTGGTCGCTCCTGGTAACTGTTGGGCTCCTGACCTCCAATCCCACTTTTCGATCTCAGGTATCTGGCATGAAATCTTGTTTCGCCACCTTTTTTTTCGACCCCCCGCTCCACAGAGTCTCTGAGACAAGAAAACGTGGCTTGTGCTGAAAATAGCACGCGGTTAGATAAAGAAAGGCTAGTTAGGTCAACCGCTTAAACAGAGGAGGAACTGTTTTTCTTGGCGCATCTTTTCGTCTGGGAGAGAACGCATCAGTTCTGCGATAATGACAGCTTTTCATGGACGCGGGCGGGGGAGAAAGGGAGGGTTGTCAACATGTAGTCCCTCTCACACATGTGTGTCTAATGCACAAGCGAGTATTTATGGGAAAATGCCGCAGAAGGCACGGCGGACTCAAAGATGCTCAAATCCAATTTGGTCCATGACGTGTGTGTCAAATCTAACTACTACAGCAGTGAATCTGATCGGCCGCTTGTCAGGAGACGGAAGGGACAGAGAAAAGTGCAGACGTTTCAGATATTTGCACTTGGTCTAGTTTGCGTTCACAGAGAAAAGTGCAGACGTTTCAGATACGTATTTGCACTTGGTCTAGTTTGCGTTTGTGTCCTTTCATTCCTTATTATCTCGTCGAGATAGATAGGAGAACAGAGTAGGAGGATAAGGAAGATGAGGACGAGGATGAGGAGGAGACCAAAGCGCTTATCAAACTACAACATTGCAACCAAACCCTAACTTACTACAGTACTTCAGTACTCGCTCCTCTCTGTGTTCCTGGATGTGTTGACGGGGCTAAACCAAGTGATGCATCCGAACAGTGTGACTAATGCGGATGAACTGATTTTTTTTTTTTTCGCACACTATCGTTCCAGAAACCCACAGGGAGTGCATTTAGCCAGTGGCTACACACCTCTTTCCAGAGAGACACTAGCATTTATTTTTGTTTTTACACCTGTGACGCAATTCTAAACTATAAAACCAAACAATGATTTAATTTGAACATTAAAATTGTTATTTGTGCTAAAGAAAAAAAAGTTAGTAAGTAAAGTTAAAAATGATTGCTTGGTTTTTGATTAGACCATTCTGTTGAACGTTTTACAGCTCAACAAAACAGCGCCCCCTCTGTGATATAACGCACCTGTCCAGAGATCTCAGTGAAGTTAAATTTATTTTATGCTCTAAAGAAAAAAAAAGTCCAATATTTTTAGATCTGGGATGGGCAAACCTTTAGGCCTAAGGTTCCAAATTTGACTGGTGGGCCGGTTCAGATTTGGTTTCGATGTAAAATGTTAAATATCAAATTTGATGTTTTGTCCGCCTTGTAGTGGCATCAACAGAAATTACAGTTGATCCAAAATAAGGCATGAAACCATAGGATTGACACAAGTCTTAAATGTAATGTAAATGCTGGGCCGGATTAGAAAGCCCAGTGGGCCGTATATGGCCCACGTGCCATAGTTTGACGATCAGAGGATCAAATTTACTTTCATAAATAACATTTCCAACAGCACTCTTAACCCACGCATCACGGTATCTATAAGTGCATATTAGCGCCCCCTGCAGGAGACTGCGGGGGTTATGTTCAGTGAGAGAGAAAATTGTTTTTACATACTTTTCCTTTAGCTTTTTAAATATGTCAGTAATGCTGTTAAGCCTCAGTGAACTTTGATTCATCTCCAGACTTAAGCCGCCCTCAAACTCAGACAGGTCCCACTTTTCCCAAGCCAGTCAAGGCTGCACTGTTTTAATGGGAGGAGAAACCACACTATCTGTCCCTGAACTCAGGATGAAGGAGAAACTAAGGCAGTGGCATTTGAAAAAAAAAAAACAAACATTGTTAGTGCATGGTTGCTGCTCTAAGAGGTCTACGTGATTCATACTTACATTGTTTTGCAACATCATGTTGGGCTCCATGCATTCCAAGCCCCCATCATTGAACCCGGATTCAAGACTAATAAGGTCATCAATAACTTCATCCATTGGGAACTAAAAGAAAACAGGGAATTTGTTTTGGTTTCAGTGTGGACAGAATGACAAGAATTTAAAAGTACTGTCCAAGGCCGATCTTTGGAAATCTTTACAGTCGAAACCGGGAGAGACACACGAAAGGAGGGGGGGGGGGGGGGGGGGGGGGAGACACTAATCCAAAAAACAGCCAGGTTCTCCACTGCCACGTTCTAACACCATGTCAGTGGAAAAAAAAAACCTGTGTCTGTTATCAAACTAGTTTTCCCCCTTTGAACAGAGGGCGACTCTCATCAGAGACTGTTTGTCTGAAGTTATTGATGAGCACATCAGAGGGGAAGAGATCAATAACGGCATCGCTTTGTCTAGACTGTGATTTGGAACTTCTGTGGTGTTGCAGAGATTTCAAAATTGGACCAGATTTAAGTTTGAAAAGTGTTGATATTTGCTCAGAGAAACGGACGGAAAAGGGACTTTTCACAAAGTATCAGCCGCCATCAATCTCAGGTCAATTCAATTTGATGATTTGACGACGACTTTTAACAGATCTTGAAAGCGATTGTGAGAAAATAACAGAAAGTATATTGACAGGAATAAGGAAGGTTGACAGGAAAGCAAGTCTAAAAAGTTGTGAAATCTTGAAAAAAAAAAAACATGAAACAAATCTTCCGTGACCCAGTCTGTGGTTTTTAAGAAACGACAGATTCCTTCTTTTCCGCCCACCACTGGAGCGTGTTCTCAGTTTCAGTTCCATATATTCAGCATTATTTACCTCGCTGTCCTGACTGGTCATGGTGAGCAGGGTGACGGGGCTGTTGGGGTTGCTGCCGTCGCTCATGGAGGGCATGCTGCCGTTCCTGAGGACGGGCATGGTGGCCAGCGGCTGGGCCCGGGGGGGGGGGGGGGGCACCGCCGGGGC